TATATATATATATATATATATATATATATATTCTAATGAAATCACGTTACGAGTTTAGGCAAATTGAAATTGACTTCTTTAGTTGTCTGTATCAAGCATCGCATTCTCTTGTCTAGTTTCGAAGGTGAAGTTACGTAAATTTTGGGGAAGACTATTTTTCCAAGGACCAAAAATAATTTTTTTCTTCTATATCATGAAATGAAATAAATGATGGACCTTGGTGAAGATTTTGAAATGGTCAAGTTACTCGCGGGAGACATACGTCGAGAAATTATGACACTTATTGTTTTATGAAACTATTTTTAACTTATTCGGTTCAAATTTATGAACACGGCATTGCAATTTTAGTTGGTGCTTGTTTGGGAATATATATTATAATCGATTTAAATAATTAATAGATAGAGCTAAAGTGAACGATAAGCGAGTAGTACTTACGGATTTCACAAAATTCACGGATAAAAAGTAGGGTTAATTAGGAGTAATGATAAATTAAAAACTAACAAAAATGCCGATTAGATAGATTATACGTGTGAAATTAAATACTTGTTTATTGAATTGAAAGATGTAACTACTCATATTCTGTGCATAATATACATGTTGTGACTAGAGCTGTCAATGAATTGGATTTTGATCTAAATTCGATGAAATTAATGGGAGATGAATTTAGAATCTCAATCCGATTACCCGATCGAGATCCGAATCCGATAATACATTAACTAAATGAATCAAACATGAATATAGGTCAATTTGATCCAATAACACCCAATTCGATTTATTATAATAATATATTATATTTTTTATATTATCGCATAATTTATGACAGCGTTTTTTCCATTTTGAGAGTTGTATTATACTTTTCACGTAACTTTTAAATAATAAATAATGTTATATAATAGTATAATATTTTTAATTGAAAATTTTGAAAAGATTTAATTTTTTTATTAATTAAAACAAGATAAAACTAATAATTTATTTATTTATTAGATTTACTATAGTAATTTGTTTTATAACATAAAAACTAACAATTAATATGTCCAAAATAATTTAATTTGTTCAAATTGATATTGTTTATAATTAAAATCTTATTGAGCCTATAATTTTTTATGAAAATAATATAGTAAATTGGTAAACACTTAGAATTAAAAATGATTATGATTAGTATCCCACATTGAAAGAGGGGACGCCACTTGGCCCCCTTGTCAACTAAATTGTACAAAATATTGTACAAATAGCACAACTCATTGGAATTTTCTAAAACATTCCAAGAGGTGTCACTTTTTAAAAAAGCATAACTTGGATTAAAAAAAAAAAAGATTTGGGCCTTCTAATATAATAAGTGAGCCCATCAAGATCGTTCAAATATTTTTTAAAATATATAATTAATTAAAATCTTGTTGAGGCTATAATTTTTAATGAAAAAAATTATTTTTATTTTTCTAATTTTTTCAATTTAGGATCGGGTCATCGGATCAGATATCCAATAACATAACTAATCGGATTTGGATTTAACATTCAAATATCCGTCGAATCGGATCAGATCGAATTTGTGCAGATACGATCCATTGACAACCCTAATTGTGACTAGATGATGGAAAGATATGCCTATAAGAATAAAGCTACTTGAACGGGGCCACGTCAAATAGCATAGCCCAAGCCTATGGCGTGCTTCAAGAAGCCAAAAAGTCGAAAAAGCACTTTCTTAACTATCGTACAATTTACGTAATTAACTATGGGTGCTCATTAATTAATGCTTAATAATAGTTAAAATAACAAGTCCAAGCATTTTATAACAATAAAAAAGCTCAATATAAGAATATATTAATATTTTTGGTTTTCAATCCTTATATTGAAAGTTTTTACTATTAAAATAAATTTATTGTGAGTGTCTATGCATTGTTTGTATTGCTCTTCCTCTTTATGTTGAAAATATTTACTATTAAAATAAATTTATTGTGAGTGCCTATGCATCGTTTGTGTTGCTCTTCCTCTTTATATATGAATGGCATAGTATTAGAACCTTATTCGAATATGTTTTTGTTGCTATCAACCTAGATTTGAACGCTCAAGTAAGAGGATATTTGGTAGGGATTAAAATTAGATTTTTTTAATAAATTGTGATAGAAATTTTTGAAATGTGTGACTGAAAAATTGTAGAACCCATAAAAGATATGGTTAATATTGATTATTTAACTTCAATTTAGATTAAAATCAGATTTTAATCTGAAACCAAACATACTCTAAATTTTGGCGCATTTCAAAAACAAGTTGAGATATGCCGTCCAACTTTTATTGCCCACAGAGGAGCATTGGAATGGTCTTAAGTCCTTAATATTCAGACGAAAAAAAGAAGAAGTTACACCAAACCAGAGACACCTTTTTTTGTTAACCTATTTTTCGACTGACCGGATCGGTCACCCTTCAGCCTCCTATCACAACAAGGCAGAGATAATCCAACATTCTACCGTTCTCCAAAAAACTAGAAGGAGTATGAATAGTTGGATTCATTATTTATGCGTCATTTTAAATTAACATGTCATCAATTTTGTGGGTTAGTGGTGATTAAGTTAATGAGGGAAATTTTTAGATGACATGTTAATTTAAAAATGAAGCGTCAATAATTAATTGGTTGAACAACAAATTGGACAATAGATCTTAACTCTCTAAAAACTGTAGATCTAACTAAAAGAAGATAGACAGTCTCATTCAAGAACACTTTGGTATCTTACGTCTCTATTTTCCTTTTTCGGTGGAATTTTATATGAGTATCAGAGTAGATTTGAAAATCATCGCTTTTTTGCTTCCGCTCTTTATTTGATAGATGATTCTCAAAGAAATAAAGAACAAAAATGTTTGAAAGCTAACGATCGATTGAAGCAGCATTAGTTTATACATTCCTTGTAGCCTCGACTCTAAAAATAATTTTTTCACATCTTTGGATAATTGCCCTATGAAGCTAATTTAATTAGTCATGGTCCATGGGTCATGATAACAGTTACTTATTATTTGTTGGCTTCTAGATGAAATTATAGCGATGTGATGTTTTTTTCCTTTTAGACTTATTTATAATATGTATAAATGTAATAAATGGTTACAACCACCCTAAGAAGTTACAACATATCGAGTAATAAAGTCTCCGATAATCTTCCAACTAGTTATTAATTTATTATTTTTATTTTATTTTTTTTCTTCATTTAATGTCAATAATTAATTACTAAATCTAGAAGAGCAGCGTAATGATGTGTAAATCTAGAAGGCCAAAAAGTCATTCAGCGTGGAATGTGCAACATCATTTGAATAATTGACAAAATGGGTCCAAAGGCAGCCATGTTGATTTTGTTGCTCGATCAATTTTTCAAAATTTTTATTTTAAAATAAAACAAAGCTGATGTAGTGATGTGTGAAATCCATTTCAAATCTTTTACTTTTATACAAGAAAATGTATCTTTTTTCTGGATTTAATAATCACTTTACATTTATCTCGATCAACTCACGACAGTCAAATGTAGAAGTTTGACTATTAGTCGTGTTTGATAAAGTTTTTATTTGTTTTGAGATTACAAGTTGGGAGATTACAAGTTGAAAAGATTCACAAAATGTGTTATTATTAAGTTTGTTTGGCCCCCATTATTTTCAAATTTTAATGGTTAGAATAGTATTTTTTTGAAAAATACGTGGTTGAAAAAGAATGAAAAATTTTCTATTTACGTGTAATATTATTTTATGAAAAATTGTGATTGAAAATAATAGAGAAAAAAAGAATGAGACCAAACGGGGGCTAAAAGTGAAAAGTTATGGATTCAATGAAATTATGTGATTAAGTGTAAATTTTGATCAGTTTAAGATCTAAAAAAAGTTTTACCAAACAAGAGCTTGTTAAACTTGATATACCATATACAAGATGAATTTTCACTTTATATTATAATATTGAAATGACACGAAAAGTTTCGATTTTGCAACACGTCATAATTTTGAATTGCAAATGATGGTACCCCAAAATTCAGTATTTTCCAAATTAAATCAAATTCTAGGTTATAATTTGTTTGTATATTTCACTTTGGTAACCTATGAAAAATAGTAGAAAAAATTAGGATTGAAATTTTCAACTTTTCGTGTAGCACGGTTATGAATTCTTAACCTTTAAAAGTGAGATCATGAATTTTTAATTTACTTAAATATGTAATTTGAATATTCAGATGATTGACACTGTCGATATAAATGTTAAAATTCACGTCTTTCAATTAAATTAGATAGAAATGTTAGATGATTTGACAATTTTCCATCTGATTTTAGGTAACGTGAAAATTATGTTTGACACAGTCAGAGATAAATAATATATATATCAATTAAATAGTGGCGGAAATTACATAGTCAAAGAACTAGAATTTTTTGGAAGATGTAGCCCCCGTTTGGCCCCCATTTTCTGAAAATGAAAATGGGGGGAGTAGTATTTTTTAGAAAAATAAGAGGTTGTAAAAGAAGGAAAAATTTTCGATTTACGTGTAATATTATTTTAAGAAAAATTGTGTGGTTGAAAATAGGAAGAAAAAAATGAAATGTAATGTAATTGAATTTAATGGGGATCAAACGGGATTGTAACCTTACTCATCAGTAAAATAAAACAATTATGATATGTTTTACTATAAAAATAATAACAAATAAAATGTTAAAAGTTAAATTTACAATCCTTGGCCCACAAAATAGCCATTAGCCACACAAAATTTTCCTCATCTATAAAACCCCTCAACTACTCCCCATACTTTTCAACCTTTATTCTCTATCTAACTTTCCTATTGCACAAATATCTGTGTCCGAGAACTCCATTTGCAGGACCCAAAAACACAGAGCTGGTATGGATTCTAAAACCATCTCTCTTTCACAAGAAGAATTGATCTGTTGAAGTGTTTTATGTTCATAAAATCACTATTCAATCTGTCGGTGTTTCCTGTTAATAGCTAATATCCTGTTTCTCTTTTTCTTTCTCATCAGAGATTAAAGGAGCTGCAGCTGTAACAAACATGGCATTTGAGCAATATTTTATGCAGGAATGGAAGTCCCTACCTTCTGTAGCAAAAGACTCTGAAAAGACTTCTCCTTGCTTTGATTGCAGTATCTGTTTGGACTTCGCCCGTGACCCTGTTGTTACTCTTTGTGGCCATCTCTATTGTTGGCCCTGCATCTACAAGTGGTTTCAGAGTGCTTCACTTGAATCAGACCAGCACCTGCCCAGATGCCCAGTTTGCAAGACCGAAATCTCCGATAAAACCATGGTTCCTTTATATGGCCGCGGCCAATGCCTCTCTGAAACTGAAGACAAGGGCGAGAACATCCCTCCTAGGCCACCAGCTCGTTCCACGCAAGATCTATACAATTCCTCCGATCCTTATCCCGGTAACGAAGGAGATCCTTCGTCTCAGTTCGATCTTTCACATCCCGGGATAGGGATGTATGGAGAGATGGTTTATGCTAGAGTTTTTGGTAATTCAGAGAGTTTATACTGGTATCCTAACTCGTACCACTTAGTGGGAAATAGTTCCCCTAGATTAAGAAGGCAGCAATTACAGGCTAATAAATCTCTCAATAGAATTTCGATTTTCCTCTTCTGCTGTTATCTTTTGTGCCTTCTCCTATTTTAGTCTTAGGAATTTCTGCTGCCCCTTTATGTTACATGTATAAAGTTTGCATGATTTATATAATAGCTATTGATACACAAAGAGTATTCAGATCTACACTTATTTGACTGAATTATCTGCAATAATTTCTTATCCATTGTTCTTCGGAGGCAATGTTCATCGTGATATAGATCAATTCAGGTTCCATTGTCCTTCGGAGGCAATGTTCATCACGATATAGATCAATTCAGGTTAATGCTCTGATCTTGATCCAAATTCAAACAAAATTACATATCGTGGTGAACATTGCCACTGATGTTTAGTTTATACAAATATATCGTGATGAACATAGTAGGAGCAATAAAGCAGCCAAGGGATATACAAACTGAGGGTTCAAATTCAACCGAAAATTGGCCTAAACAGCATCATCTTTTAACAGGGAAAACAAGAATAATTCTCCTTGTACATAATGGGAGCCATAAGTGTGTCCATAATGGACACCCGGCCAATAGGGGGCCACCGGGTGTCCATAATGGACACTTTTATTGCTCCCATTATGTACTCCTAGCAAGCTCTGGATAACAAAGTCTGATGATTTAGGCGAGCAATTAGAAATTTGGAAAAGCAAATAGGGTACTATGACAAGAAGAAATATCTTTTATGATATGATAAAGACTGAATATATTAAAAGGTAATGGGGAGTCCAATTAAAAGAATGCTCCAGAAAGCAATTATCACAACTAAAAGTGTAAATTTCCCTCAGTACTTCTCGAATATAAGCTAATCTTTAACAGATAGTTCTTTAGGGTATAGCAAAAACTCAGTTCTCCGAGCATTTCATCTGATAAGATAATAAATTTGACAAAAATTGTTGACAGTATAAAATTTAGCACATTCACTGCAAGAAAAATGATAAGAGAGCCATATTTACTATCATGTAGCAGTCAGTCAGTCAGATCAGATGTCAACCGCAAGAGTATCGTATCTCTCACAAGTCAATGCGTACATTTCATACAGAGGCCCCGTGAGAATAATGTCTGTTAGGCCAGCAAGGAGTTTCAAATTTGCTTTTTCACTTATTTACTCGTCTTCTGTCGCATACTCACAATTCCTTTTCATCTTGTGGAAAGGTTTGTAATGTCCCATCCTTGATAAAACAAAACAATTTGTCAAAAATGGCTCCTGAAGGAATATTCTCTGCTCTTAGGAACCTCGTGAATTCCTCAACTTTTTCCAAATATTTAACGTTATCCAAAAATTCCAGACATGCAGTCAAGGAATCTTTGCTCGGTTTTGATTTTGCAAAACTTAACGAGATTGCCTTCCTCAATGCTTCCATGGTGTCAGGGACTTGATTTTCCTTGAGATAACCAGCTGCTAAATGACACCATGTAATTACGAGAGGATTTCCCCCTTTAGCCAATCCACTGTTTATAATGTCTTCCGCCTTCATTAGAAGGCCGTTTCTGCAATAAGCATCGATCAAGAAATTTGAGATCCGATAATCATAGGACAATCCACTCAATTCCCATTCATTAAAAATTTTCTCAAGCCCTTCAATATCATTAAACTTCATCAATGAGCGCATCATGCTTATATAAACCTTATTGATAACCTTTTCATTTTGCTTGTACAGGTTCCAGATTCGGTACAACTCATCTTTCTTCCCAGTTTCCCCATAGAGTTTGAGGAGGAAGAAAAATAAAATATCCTTTTTCTTGGTGGTTGCCAACTTCCCCTCCAATTTTTGCAGTATTACCAAAGCTTTGTCCACTAAGCCCAGTCTCAAGTATCCCTCAGCCGCAATAACATAGGTCTTCCAATCAAGAAAGACGTGAGGATCAGATTCCAAAATTCGTACAGTTTTATCAATTCCATCAGGGTCAGAAGCTGCAGCATATGCACTTAGGCGGACAGCAAGCGTGAAGTGGTCATGATCAATGCCTTTAGACTTCATTTCATTCATCAGATCATCAAGCTTTTCTGAATTTCCCAAATGATAATGAAGATTCATCATAAGGTTGTACCATAATGGTCTACTAGCATACCCCAAATCTCTAGCTTTCTGCATAATAGCTTCTGCCTTATCCACGGATCTAGCATTGGCATAACAGGTAAGAAGAGCAAGATGAACATCAAAAGTTTTCAAGTTTTCTTGGATCTCATTGAAGAACTTCTCCGCGTGTTCTAAGCCATAAACTTTGAAAATCAATTTCAGTCGAACAGCAGCATCAAAATGGGATGTACGAAAATGCCTCTTATCAGTCATCCAGCGAGACACCTAAAAAATTAGAAAAGAACTTCACGAAGTTAATTCATGCTCCTCCTCCGCCCTTCAGATCGCCATGGCTCGGCTTGAAGACGAGTTTCGTAACATCCTCCTTTCAAATACTTATCCAATTGAAAATGAGTCACTCACCGAGTTCAGTAACTCGTCCACGCATCATTCAATAAGTTCTACTTCGGAAGGCAGTGAGTTTATTAGCTCGAACTCGGAGGAAGTGGAATTTAAGGACGATATTGAGGGGAGTCTTGTTAAACAGTTGGAGCATCTAGAGAGCACTAGTAGCTGTACAAGCTCTAGTTACAAGTCTACGAGTAGTATTCGGGAGGTAGATCTCGTACCAACTGAAACTATCTACGATCTGCGTTGTATAGCGGAGCGAATGATTGCTGCCGGGTACTTGAGGGAGTGTATTCAGGTATACGGAAGCGTACGAAAATCTGCTGTGGACGCGAGCCTCAAGAAGCTAGGAATCGAGAAATTGAGCATCGGGGATATACAGAGGCTTGAGTGGGAGATTCTGGAGACGAAGATCCGGAGGTGGATTCGAGCTTCGAAAATCTGTGTTCGGGTTCTTTTTGCGAGTGAGAAGATGCAGTGCAAGCAAATATTTGAAGGTTTGGGTACTTCTACTGATGATGCTTGTTTTATGGAAACCATTAAAGGTCCTGCAGCTCAGTTGTTTAATTTTGCGGAAGCAATTAGTATTAGTAGAAGATCACCTGAGAAATTGTTTAAGATGTTGGATCTTCATGATGCTTTGTCTGATTTATTGCCTGATATTGAAATTGTATTCGAGTCGAAATCCACCGAATCGATTAGGGTCGGGGCGGTTGAGATATTGTCTAGGTTGGCCGAGGCCTCGAGAGGGATACTATCAGAATTTGAGAATAGGGTTCTTCAGGAGCCATCAAGAGTTCAGGTGCCAGGAGGGACTCTTCATCCCTTGACTAGATATGTGATGAATTATATTAGTTTGATATCGGATTATAAGCAGACTTTGCTTGAATTAATTGTATCTAAGCCCTCGACTGGTTCGAGATACTCAGGGGATATGAACATGCCAGATATGGATTTCTTGGAGTTTGAGGGAGAGGTAACCCCATTGTCTCTTCATTTGATTTGGATAATTGTGATTTTGCAGTTTAATTTGGAGGATAAATCTAAGCATTATAAGGATGCATCCTTATCTCACTTGTTTATCATGAATAATGTTCATTATATTGTTCAAAAGATAAAAGGGTCGCCTGAGTTGAGGGAGATGATTGGGGACGAGTATCTGAAAAAGTTGACTGGGAAATACCGGTTAGCCGCGACTAGTTACCAGCGGTCGACCTTAATGAAGGTCTTGTATTGCTTGAGAGATGAGGGACTGCATGTGAGTGGGAGTTTTTCATCTGGTGTGTCCAAGAGTGCTTTGAGAGAGAGGTTTAAGGCGTTCAATGGTATGTTTGAGGAGGTGCACAAGACTCAGGCCACTTGGATGGTACCCGACCCTCAGCTCCGCGAGGAGCTTAGGATTTCCATAGCCGATAAGGTTATTCCGGCTTATAGATCTTTTCTTGGACGATTTGGATGCCATATTGAGAGTGGAAGGCACCCGGAGAATTACATCAAATACTCGGTAGAGGACCTTGAGAATGCAGTCCTGGATTTCTTTGAGGGACACCCGGTGTCCCTTCAATTAAGGAGATCTCAATAAGCGGAATGAAATTGAGTTTTCCCCCTTACCGTGTAGGAAATCATTCTTTGTATTCTTTGTGGAGCGTCCAGGAGGAGGTTCTGGTTTCTTCAATATTAGCTGAGGTTGTGATTCTTTTAAGAGATCAGCACATAAATTTCTCACAGTGGATATCAAGCAACAGTATAACCAATTCTAACTCTTTTGGGGTAGCCATTGCTTCTCTTCCTGAATGCTTCTGCCTGTAAGCATGTCTTGTTTGTACTTTCTCAGTTTTTATTTTTGTTTCATTTGTTTATATGACTATCGTTGTATTTGTGTTACTTCTTAAATATTCACAGTCGAAATAATAGAATTTAGATGAATATTGACGATTTTAAGCAATCCCAGAACAATGTGCTCGGAAATGTTAAATCTTAGAAACAAGTATCTTGTGTGGTTCCATTCTTTTTTATTTCCGCATCAGTAAGTTCATTGAAAGGAAATCACTATGATTTTAGAATTTATTGCAGATGCCTACTGTCCTAGCTTCCCACTCTTGATCATAGGGAACAAGAATAAAAATAGGAATTTGTTATCGGGATGTAAAATTCTTCTACTTCTCTCTCTTTATTCTTAAATAGTTCTATAGAGCTTCAGTTTCTATGGTTATGGACTTTTCCCCTCAAGGACCAGTCCATGGCCATTCTCTTTGGTACCTGTTTGACCGCACAATTTGCGGAGCTAATAGGTGACTTCCTCTGGCCTGCTTAAATGGAACTTCTGTTTTTGATTTTGGATTTTTCTACCTAATTTTATTGTGTACTCTTAGATGTCATCCTTGATGTCGAACTCATATGCTAGATGAAACTTGAAACAACGACATCATCAAGATTTCTTGCAGACTGTTCTTTCTGAGTTTAGTACTTTATAATTCTCTATAGTTTAAATAACAAGAGGTAGAAAGCGAAACTTGGAATGACTTCTTGAAAATGTTCATTGAATTGCTGGAAAGGAGAGTAGTTTTTTGAAAAGTATTACAAGAATATGTGATAGTTATCTTAGTTCAAACACGGGTCATATTGCCAAATACCCAAAATTGACCTCTTAGATTAGACCAGAGGAATTTTCTCTGTCAAAGCTGCAAAGGACTTGCACAGGACGCCCCTGAGGGTCCGTTTGACATGGTTTTTAAAAAGTCAAAATGAGATTTTGAGACCCGTTTGGCTAATTTTATAAAAGTGTTCATTCTAGTTAGAGAATTGTGCTAGATGTACAATGTTTTGCACAATCTAGTTGACAAGGGGGCCAAGTGGCGGCCCCTATTGGAGGGGCGGCAGTTTGTCAACTAAATTGTACAAAATATTGTACAAATAGCACAACTCATTGGAATTTTCTAAAACATTCCAAGAGGTGTCACTTTTTAAAAAAGCATAACTTGGATTAAAAAAAAAAAAGATTTGGGCCTTCTAATATAATAAGTGAGCCCATCAAGATCGTTCAAATATTTTTTAAAATATATAATTAATTAAAATCTTGTTGAGGCTATAATTTTTAATGAAAAAAATTATTTTTATTTTTCTAATTTTTTCAATTTAGGATCGGGTCATCGGATCAGATATCCAATAACATAACTAATCGGATTTGGATTTAACATTCAAATATCCGTCGAATCGGATCAGATCGAATTTGTGCAGATACGATCCATTGACAACCCTAATTGTGACTAGATGATGGAAAGATAGGCCTATAAGAATAAAGCTACTTGAACGGGGCCACGTCAAATAGCATAGCCCAAGCCTATGGCGTGCTTCAAGAAGCCAAAAGTCGAAAAAGCACTTTCTTAACTATCGTACAATTTACGTAATTAACTATGGGTGCTCATTAATTAATGCTTAATAATAGTTAAATTAACAAGTCCAAGCATTTTATAACAATAAAAAAGCTCAATATAAGAATATATTAATATTTTTGGTTTTCAATCCTTATATTGAAAGTTTTTACTATTAAAATAAATTTATTGTGAGTGTCTATGCATTGTTTGTATTGCTCTTCCTCTTTATGTTGAAAATATTTACTATTAAAATAAATTTATTGTGAGTGCCTATGCATTGTTTGTGTTGCTCTTCCTCTTTATATATGAATGGCATAGTATTAGAACCTTATTCGAATATGTTTTTGTTGCTATCAACCTAGATTTGAACGCTCAAGTAAGAGGATATTTGGTAGGGATTAAAATTAGATTTTTTTAATAAATTGTGATAGAAATTTTTGAAATGTGTGACTGAAAAATTGTAGAACCCATAAAAGATATGGTTAATATTGATTATTTAACTTCAATTTAGATTAAAATCAGATTTTAATCTGAAACCAAACATACTCTAAATTTTGGCGCATTTCAAAAACAAGTTGAGATATGCCGTCCAACTTTTATTGCCCACAGAGGAGCATTGGAATGGTCTTAAGTCCTTAATATTCAGACGAAAAAAAGAAGAAGTTACACCAAACCAGAGACACCTTTTTTTGTTAACCTATTTTTCGACTGACCGGATCGATCACCCTTCAGCCTCCTATCACAACAAGGCAGAGATAATCCAACATTCTACCGTTCTCCAAAAGACTAGAAGGAGTATGAATAGTTGGATTCATTATTTATGCGTCATTTTAAATTAACATGTCATCAATTTTGTGGGTTAGTGGTGATTAAGTTAATGAGGGAAATTTTTAGATGACATGTTAATTTAAAAATGAAGCGTCAATAATTAATTGGTTGAACAACAAATTGGACAATAGATCTTAACTCTCTAAAAACTGTAGATCTAACTAAAAGAAGATAGACAGTCTCATTCAAGAACACTTTGGTATCTTACGTCTCTATTTTCCTTTTTCGGTGGAATTTTATATGAGTATCAGAGTAGATTTGAAAATCATCGCTTTTTTGCTTCCGCTCTTTATTTGATAGATGATTCTCAAAGAAATAAAGAACAAAAATGTTTGAAAGCTAACGATCGATTGAAGCAGCATTAGTTTATACATTCCTTGTAGCCTCGACTCTAAAAATAATTTTTTCACATCTTTGGATAATTGCCCTATGAAGCTAATTTAATTAGTCATGGTCCATGGGTCATGATAACAGTTACTTATTATTTGTTGGCTTCTAGATGAAATTATAGTGATGTGATGTTTTTTTTCCTTTTAGACTTATTTATAATACGTATAAATGTAATATATGGTTACAACCACCCTAAGAAGTTACAACACATCGAGTGATAAAGTCTCCGATAATCTTCCAACTAGTTATTAATTTATTATTTTTATTTTATTTTTTTTCTTCATTTAATGTCAATAATTAATTACTAAATCTAGAAGAGCAGCGTGATGATGTGTAAATCTAGAAGGCCAAAAAGTCATTCAGCGTGGAATGTGCAACATCATTTGAATAATTGACAAAAATGGGTCCAAAGGCAACCATGTTGATTTTGTTGCTCGATCAATTTTTCAAATTTTTTATTTTAAAATAAAACAAAGCTGATGTAGTGATGTGTGAAATCCATTTCAAATCTTTTACTTTTATACAAGAAAATGTATCTTTTTTCTGGATTTAATAATCACTTTACATTTATCTCGATCAACTCACGACAATCAAATGTAGAAGTTTGACTATTAGTCGTGTTTGATATAGTTTTTATTTGTTTTGAGATTACAAGTTGGAAAGATTCACAAAGTGTGTTATTATTAAGTTTGTTTGGCCCCCATTATTTTCAAATTTTATATTTTTTTGAAAATACGTGGTTGAAAAAGAATGAAAAGTTTTCTATTTACGTGTAATAGTATTTTATGAAAAATTGTGATTGAAAATAATAGAAAAAAAAAAAAGAATGAGACCAAACGGGGGCTAAAAGTGAAAAGTTATGGATCCAATGAAATTATGTGATTAAGAGTAAATTTTGATTAGTTTAAGATCTAAAAAAAGTTTTACCAAACAAGAGCTTGTTAAACTTGATATACCATATACAAGATGAATTTTCATTTTATATTATAATATTGAAATGACACGAAAAGTTTCGATTTTGCAACACGTCATAATTTTGAAATGCAAATGAAGGTACCCCAAAATTCAGCATTTTCCAAATTAAATCAAATTCTAGGTTATAAATTGTTTGTATATTTCACTTTGGTAACCTATGAAAAATAGTAGAAAAAATTAGGATTGAAATTTTCAACTTTTCGTGTAGCATGGTTATGAGTTCTTAACCTTTAAAAGTGAGATCATGAAATTTTAATTTACTTAAATATGTAATTTGAATATTCAGATGATTGACACTGTCGATATAAATGTTAAAATTCACGTCTTTCAATTAAATTAGATAGAAATGTTAGATGATTTGACAATTTTCCATCTGATTTTAGGTAACGTGAAAATTATATTTGACACAGTCAGAGATAAATAATATACATATCAATTAAATAGTGGCGGAAATTACATAGTCAAAGAACTAGAATTTTTTTGTAAGATGTTTGGCCCCCATTTTCTGAAAATGAAAATGGGGGGAATAGTATTTTTAGAAAAATGAGAGGTTGAAAAAGAAGGAAAAATTTTCGATTTACGTGTAATATTATTTTATGGAAGATTGTGTGGTTGAAAATAGGAGGAAAAAGATGGAATGTAATGTAATTAAATTTAATGAGGATCAAACGGGGTTGTAACCTTACTCATCAGTAAAATAAAACAATTATGATACGTTTTACTATAAAAATAATAACAAATAAAATGTTAAAAGTTAAATTTACAATCCTTGGCCCACAAAATAGCCATTAGCCACACAAAATTTTCCTCAGCTATAAAACCCCTCAACTACTCCCCATACTTTTCAACCTTTATTCTCTATCTAACTTTCCTATTGCACAAATATCTGTGTCCAAGAACTCCATTTGCAGGACCCAAAGACACAGAGCTGGTATGGATTCTAAAACCATCTCTCTTTCACAAGAAGAATTGATCTGTTGAAGTGTTTTATGTTCATAAAATCACTATTCAATCTATTGGTGTTTCCTGTTAATAGCTAATATCCTGTTTCTCTTTTTCTTTCTCATCAGAGATTAAAGGAGCTGCAGCTGTAACAAACAT